GGGGGGAAGAAAGGGTTCTGGGAAAGGAGGCTCTCCAAGGGAAAACGCTTGTGCTGGGGAATCGCACAGGGTCAAGAATGATACCAGCCTGGATGGGATGGGCTAGTAAGAGACAGAGAAGTAAAAGAAAGAAACCTGACAGAGTCATGGACTGTGAGGCCTACTGGGGACTGCGGGCTGGATCCGTTCAGCTGGTCGATAAGGATACGATAAGACTTTTATGGGGTAGTTTGGGTAGTTCAGGGGATATGAAAGGCCAAGGCATGAAGAACTGATACAGGGTGAGTTGGCATGAAAGAGGCAGCAAAAAGGATATCTGGGGTGATGCACGAGCTAAGTAAAAAGAAAAAAGAAAGGTATCCATTTTATCTCCTTTTTTTAAGGGCGTTGGAATGAAACGCAATCCGACCCATGTTTTGATTTTGTTCCCCCCGGCATACAGAATAAGCCCAAACGGTCTCCAAGTCTGATTTGATTTTTTTTTGAAGTTCCCTGTCATCGAATTCATGGTTTCATATTGTAGATATGAAGAATTGGCGGTGGCCGCCCATGAGAAATAAAAAAAATTGTAAAACGCCCTCCACACACAACCAGTTCGTTCATATCCACCAGGGTTCGTTGGGCCAAAGAAGATCGTGGGGAATTCCGGCAAAAAGCGAAATCGTCCCAGATCCTCCCCGTCATCAAGCTCAGCCCGTGGCCGCGCCGTCCGCCTGGAACCGATGAGTCCATCCGACTCCGAGTCCCGAGGCGAAGACGCGAAAGCCAGCGAGCCACTCTATTCGGTTCCCCCTTCCATATTTTCACCAATAAACGTAAACGCAGAGAACTCTCAACCGAATCGAGCCGCTTAGTTCTTGTTCTTCTTGGGGCCCTTGACCTTCTCGGTACCGCGGAACTTCTTGGAGCGGTTCTTCCGTTGCTTGCCTGGAGGGGGTGTGAGTACAAAAGATGCGAGGCGAATGGAGACACAAGGAAAGACGTACGCTGCTGTCTGCTGGGCTTCTCGATCTTGGTGGCAGCACCGATGCGGACCAGACGGTAGTGGGGCTCGAACTTCTTCAGGGCCTCCTGGGAGTCGTAGACGAGAGCGAAACCAGTGCTCTTACCGCCACCGTACTGCGTACGGAAACCGAAGACGGAGACCTGGTCCTTGTTGGCCTTGTACAGGTCGGCGAGCTTGTCGCGGAGTTCGTCCTTGGAGACGTTGGCGCGGTTGGGGTGGAGGACATCCCTGTGTGCAGAATATCAGCGTCTGCCGTTCTCATGCAAAAATTCTGGTCGTGTTGCCCGGAGGTTGCTCTCGGATGAATTCCCAGTCGATAGATCTTCTCTCGTCTTTCTTTTGCCCTTCACGCATATATACACACTGAATGTGATATTGCCCCGGGGTGTGATTTTTTCAAATTCAAAAAAATCAATCTTCCCCATCAAATTGTCGTAACATTCATTCCCTTTGTGTTGCCAGTCGGTCGACCTTGGAATCGTCATGTCGTAGCTTCCTCCTCTCTCTCGCTTTCCCATCTCTTGCCTGTATCTGGGTCTGTGTCCTCCCTCCGAGCATCCTCCGGGCAGTAGCATTCGGGGGAAGGCTTCTTACACGACCATCTGCTTGCGAGCAAGCAGGGGGTTGCGGATGAACTTGCGAGTCCGCAGGGTAACGGGAGCGTCGGCCATGGTTGGAAGTTGACAGCGAAGGAATCTGCGTGCGACAGGAAGCAAAAGGGGGGGGGGGGGGCAGATTAAGGAGGGCGCGGGTTTTGTCGAAGTCGCTGTCAAGTCGGGTCGGGGCTTCGAAATGCGGCGTTCGATTCAATTTTGGTCTTGTTGTGCACAAGTTGGCTGTGGGCTCGGCTAGACGACCCTAGTCTGGATCCGGTTAGTCCTAGTGCCCTGCTCAATTATTCCCTATCGGAACTAGCGCCATGGTGCCTGATAAGAGGCCGCTGACTCAGCATTTGTTCCTTATCAACGACATACTATGTATTTTCTACGCTACAATCTACATTAGAGCATCATACAACTTCAACCTCATTCTCGCCATGTCCTCCCCCGCCTCCCCCCTCGACCGTCTCGTGTCCCAATATTACCAACAGCTCGAACTCCCCTCTCTCGCTCTCCCCGACAATGCCACGCTCCTCACTCCCACCACACAACATGCCCTCTACAACCGCATGTTCAACGATTTCGACCCCGCCCTCTGGCCGCTGCCCCCGGCCCATTATCGCATGCGCGTGCTCAAATTGATCATCGCCCGCCTTGAGCAATCACTTACCAATCCGGAGGAGGATGTATGAACCCTTTATCTGTATGATATGATCTGATCAGTTTAAAGCCATCACCGATCAAATTCATTCCTCCCTTCCCTTCCCCGCTCGTTACCCCCCATTAACTCGGATGAAACAAACTAACCTCCCCCCTCCATCCAGGAAATCATCGACGACCTCCTCGAAACATGGGGCACCTTACTCACGCACCCCAAACCCTCCGCCATCGAACAAGCCCAACAACTCACCTATATCAAATACACCGCCCCGCCGCCGCACCATCACCCAACCAGCGATTCCGCTCCCGCCGACCCGACACAACATGAACAACAACAACAACGAACCACCATCACCTCCGAATCCCGCGGCCTGATCCTCTCCGCAGGCACCACGGGATTTCGCACCTGGGAAGCCGCCCTCCACCTGGGGACCTACCTCGCGACGGACCCGACCGCCGCCCGCGCCGGGATCGCCGGGAAGCGGGTGATCGAGCTCGGCGCGGGCACGGGATTCCTGGGCATGTTCTGCGCGCAGCACCTCCAGCCGCGGTCCGTGGTCGTGACCGATCGCGAGATCGCCCTGATCGAGCAGATCCAGGATTGTGCGGGGCGGAATGGACTGGTGGGTGAGGACGAGGACGACACACCCGGTAAACGGTTCGCGGCGGGGATCTGGGAGTGGGGGACTCCGTTGGATATTCCCGGGCTGGGCGATGGTGAAGCGAAGGGTCTTAAGTTCGATGTCGCGTTGGGCGCGGATCTGGTATGTCCTCTTGAAGAATCTACTACCATCGCCGGTCACCGGGAACCCAGCTGACTCACCGAACCCTCTGGCCTAGATCTACGATGTTGACCTTGTTCCCCTCCTTGTCGCGACCATTCAGGACCTCTTCACCAACTATGGTCTACAGCAATTTATCATCTCCGCCACGTTGCGAAACGAGGATACTTTCCGCACGTTTTTGAGAGCTTGTGGTGCGTTGCCCCCCCACCCCTGCTGTCTGTAGTGCACTCACTTGATGCGCTCCTCTTTCTGGTATCAACAACTGATCCTCTTGCAGAAGCTCAAGATTTCACTGTCGAGCAGATCCCATTCACATCACCTCCCGAGGCAGAGCAGAAGGGCTTCTATCATTCTACGGCGATCCCAATCCATATTTATCGGATCACAAGACCGACAGCCTAGTCTTAGTTCTTTCTCAGTGAACCTGAAACGAGATTGACGTCGAGTCAACAGGAATCAAATATAGACTACCAGCTCGCTTACCGCTCTACCCGCTTACTTCGACCTTTGGCCTCTTTGGTGACCTAACGGCAAAACAATCATGGTCTCATATTGTTGGTGGTGAATCTATCTTCAAACGAAGCTAAAGTCTCGGCTTGAGAGGGTAGATTGCGAATAACAACTGTATATATGTCAAAAACCAGTGCTGTTCTGTATGTAATAAGTCTAACATCCTGGGTATCATGTCTATCAAATCGGATAAAGAAACGCGCTCGAGCGATGGACAGCAGGCCGAATACTGTTTCGACAAAGATTGAACGGTCCACAGAAAAAAAGTTGATCATTCAGGGAACGTGTTGCTGCTCAGGCAGCTGAGGTATGCTCAAATAGGATGAATCGAAGGAGCGAAAATGGGGTATATACGAGGCTATGTTCGTTGCTTTAGCGGGGCAAAAATTACCGAGCAAGGTCACTCAGCGAGGCTCTCCCTGAGAAGTCCCTCGTCCAAGTTGTCGGCATGTAGGGATACAGGTGCACGAGACATGGGGCGAAATCCCAGGATCGGCCCTTTTTGGTTTACTCCCGGGTGCCGGAAGGGAAGGCTCGGAGCTGGACTTGCTCGAACCTTGATCGAGCTTCTGGTGCTGTTTCCACTGGAGGAGGGCCTCACTTGGGAAGAAGTGTCCTCCTCAATTGGGGACGATTGCATGGTTTCATGCCCCGAGACGGCGGCGGTGCCCCAGCGACCGCGGACCCAACCACCAACCCGGCGGGGCAAAGACAGCTTCCGAGAAGGCGTAGTAGTGCTACAATCCGAGTATTCGTCTTCGGGGACCACTTGTTCAGTTGACAGCTGTCTGTTCCCAGTCATTGATGCGAGAAGGGCATGTGGACGCTGGTTTGGCAATAGGGCTGGCTCTCGTCCCGCCGTCACATTGCTCGTCGAAATTACCGGGGGTGTGGGGAATAAATCCATATTCGACGAAATAATGCGTCGAGGGATGCAGACAGGCATGGTGGTGGAGGGAAGGTCGTTCACATTCGTCCGCGACGGACGTCGACTCGGAGCATGAATGTCCATCCCCGCCACAGAGAATAGACTCTCGTGGGACGAGCCCCGACGCAGGGAGCGGTAGGGAGAAGAAAATACGTCTGTTATCATAGGAGACGCAGCTCGCTCCGACTCAGCATACTGCATCGACTCCATCTCTTCCGGAATCGCAGCTTCCACGACCCCTCTGTGTGGCGATTCAGCACCCAGATTACGTTGGGTGAGATAGTCATATCTCAGATCATCATCATTGGGATGGGTCAGATGATCAGTCTCATCCCGTCGCAAAGATGCATCGGAGTGACCCTTTCTGCGACGGCTTGTCAATGGGGAGGAAAAGACGGTACTATCTGGGCTAGTTGGCTGGGAGAAGTCGCAGCCGCGTTCCGCGCGATCAAAGATCGAGGGCGGTTGGTAAGCGGACTGTGGCGAGCTGGCCACGGAGTCCGTCATTGGAGTTTGCAATGACCACCGATGAGACGCCGCTGGAGGGATAGAGACTGATGTTTGGGACAATATGGTTGATGTGGAGGAGGTAGATGACTGCGAGCGGTGATTAGGCTTGCGTGTTCCCGAGGCCGAGTTAAGCACCGCCGCATTTCCCAAAGATCGTCTTTTCTTACTGCCCCGACGAAACAACGATCCCCGATCCTTTTTGGCGCCAACAGGAATAGCGGGGGGATGGTAATGATGATGAATATGGTATTCCTGCGACACGCGACGTGACTCCTGCGCTTCCAGTTCCTGGCTCAAAGTTGTTGACGGCCGAGGTTCCTGCCCGTCGGACGCAGCTAGGGGCTGATGAGACAAAATCTGATCCCGCAGGTTTTGCACCTCCTGGTTCGAGCTTTCGAGCATGTCCCGCAGCTCCATGATCCCTATCTGTAAATTGGCATTATCCTGTAAGATGTCGCGTACGAAGTGGGAAACCACGTTGGCGCCCGCGCGATTGCGTCCCAGCTCCTGCGCAGCAGCCGCACCTTTCAATCGACCAGCCGCGCCATCGAGTTCGCGCTCCACGGTTCGTCGGCGCTCCATCCGCTGGATCAATTCCGCATGACGCTCTCGTTCTTCCCGGGCCTCCTTTTCAATGCGGTCAACTTGATCATGCAGATCACGAAGAGTGCATTCCGCCTGCTTCCAGCGTTGGACGGCCGACTTGGATTCCTCCTTCGCCGACTGGAGACTCTCTTGTAGTCGACTCTGCTCCAACTCCATGTGTGCGAGTTGGGCCTCGAGGTCCGCCGCGCGAGCTGCCGACATGGTCAATTTGCGCAGCTCAGTCTCGGTGTTTTCCAGTCGCGATGCCAACGATTTGGCGTGTAGGTCGGAATCGGCGACGGCCTTGTTGAGGCCCTCTAATTGCTCCAGTAAGTCGCGATTCTCCTCAATTATGCGGGCGTTCTCGGCTTGAACCTCGCGCTTCTCCCGTTCGAGAGTTTCAATACTGAGCAGGAGACGCTGGCGGTCCTGTTCCGCCTCCGCCATGTAAGATTCATGACGGTGGAGTAAAGCCTGCAGAGCAAAGGTTAGCGATGAGGAGCCCATACTCGTGGCCGCCAATGCGGCCTTGTCTGAGGCGACAGCCATGACGAACAAAGAAGCATTGAGAGAGAATGGGAGACTTGAGACTGGAAGACGCCATGAGAGAGCGGGAGAATGTTGTGACAGGCCAGGTGGTAGGCCTGCCTCAGTTGTCCGTTCTTGGTTCGTGAATCTTCAGACCTCTTGGCACTCGATTCCCCAAAGGAGAACAGTTATTCAATCCGAGATAGTCAAATTCCAATCAAAGGACAAGCAAGATAAGCAAACAATGTAAACAACGTCCCTCCGCCAGTGAAGGGGGCCAAGGACATGAGGTGAGTAATCAGGCATGCGAGTATACAGAGAAAGTATGTGAGAGGGATGAGAAGTATATAGGCCGACCATCCGCAGCGAGCAAGTGAGTGGGCAAAGCCATTTGACAAGCCACCAGTCAGACAGCCTTTCATGTCTGGCTAAGTTCTGTACGACTTCATCGTCTCCAGGCCAAGAATCAGGCAGGGCAAGGTGCATCGATAGTGATAGTGGTGACTTGAGTGGCCGAAGGAACAGACCTCCGCTGCCAACAATGATGCCGCCTGACGTATTGGCCGAAAGGCCGAACCAACAAGAAGCCGGGGAAAACAAATCTGCAAATAAACAAACAGGCAACTCGAGGGCAGAAGGCACTAAACGGGGAAAGTAGGAGAAATCGGAGAACGCTGCCAGCAGACACGTACCTGGCCTAGTTTAGCAGCAGTTGCAAGATCCTTTTCCAGCCCCTCAAGAGCCAGATGATTATGGAGCAAGAATGCACAGTCATTCCGGCCACAGCAGCATTGAAGATCCGTGGTCGAGACGTGGGCAGAGGCTGGGTGGGCGGGAATGCTGGGAAGCTGACCAGTAGTGGACGAATCCATGGCTGGGGGGGAGGGGAGGAGGAGCGGGAGCAGTTGCAGCAGTTGCAGCAGACGCAGCAGCAGCAGTAGTAGTATCGGCAGCAGCTAAAGAATGGAGAAAGGGAGGGAGGGGTTAACCGTTGAGCTGGCACCCCTGGAACGACGTGATGAAGTGGCCCGGAGGCCCCCGAGCCTCGACGCTTGTCCAAGCTCCGGTCGTAGATTGATGAAACAAGAATAGATCGAGATGGATACAGATCGCGCGAGAGGGTCGTTCTGTCTGTGTGTTTCTGACCGTCTCTGTTTCCGTCTCACAGACTCCACTAGACCATGGTACAGTAGGTTCTCTGCTTCTGGCTTGAACCTCCCTCAAATCTCTGAGAAAGATCAAGCTACTAGGTAGAATAGTTCTCAATTGTTCGATTGAAGCCTGAATCGGTGGTTCAGACGGAGAATGATGGAATGTGGAAAGGACCGAGAGAAATGAAGGGGAATGATCTGAGTACTACTAATCATGGATGCAATCATTATTATGGGTGGATGGTCGGTGGATGGAGAAACGGAGCTGAAAGCCGTTCGAGGCGGAGACCGCTGGCGCCTGTTGATGATTGGCTCCGAGAGGGCCAGTTGGGCGGTGAAAATTGGCCGGGTCTGAAGGAGGCGGTAACCATAAGGTACCTAGTACCTAGTACAGTACCTGAGGTACGGAGTAGTCCTCCGTACTAAGTAAATAATAATCCATCGAAGACGTAGACTTGTTACGGGCGTTCATGGAAGGCAGCATAACCTGCTTGCAGCACGCAACTTACTAGCCAGCTTTCAAGAACTTACAAATCACAAACGATGGACTGCATGTGTATTTTGGTACTACGGAGGAGCCAAACACCGATTGACGGACGGCCCCACCAGAGACTAAATTGGAGTCCTGCCCTGAATGAGCTGAATGAGCGAGGTACTACTCCGTACTTACTGTACATAGTATGTACCCGGGCCTAGTACTGTGCCTTGTCGCCCAACCTACCAACCCCACGACTGCTGCTGCATGAAAGGCCTGCTGGATTTTGGCCTGTGACGCTGGGACAACCAAAAAAAGGAACAAAAAATTCCCCACGACTTCGGCGCTCTGGGAAATCACTCATCAAAGATACCAGTCTTTCGTATGTTAGAGAGAATAATCACAGCAGTTTCCGGCATGTCCTCATACACCTTTCTTCCCATCCTTCATTAAAGCAAGAAGTCATGGCGTACATTAATAAACGCCCCAGCGCCGCCCTCCTCGCTAATCTCATTCACCAGCACCTCCGTCTGTTGGTACAGGCGCTCCAGCGCCGCCGAAGATGACTTGCCGAGTGACACTGTTTGAAGTTGTTAGCCACCGCGTAACCCAATGCAGCCACCCACCCACGGTCTGCCTACCTAAAATGGCCGAGTTCAACTCTTCTGCCACGGCTATGCGGTTGGCCGGGTCTAGATAATGCCCATGCACCGACTGGCGCGCGTCCTGATAGGCCACCAAGGAGAAGATGTCTTCCAACATCTTCCGGTCCCCGCCCCGTTCATCGGGTGGATAGTCGACGAACAGCTGTTGTCCATACTGTACAGCCTCGGTCAGCAGCTCCTTTGACTTGGCTGCCGTCTCGGAGTCTTCAATCTCCATCCCCTCGACTTCCCATCCGTCCCCGTCGTGCACTTGGTCATCTAACTCCATTTCCTGGTCAAACACCGCACTGTCCAACAAGCCATTCGCCGATCGTCCCCGCTTCGACGCCGTTGCTGATAGCTCACTGCACCGCCGCATCATTTCCAGAAACTTGCGACATCTTAATTTGAAATGAATATGGGGGTAGGTCTGTAACACATTGGCGTAATATGCATTGGTGTACTTGAGCGCCTTGTCTATATCTCCGTCGAGGATCGCGGCTCGGATCTCTGGAGAAAAATCATAAGGTCA